CTGACAAGTTTCCAACAGGCACAAACATTTGTTTACACTTTGGCTAATATTCTTCTCAGTGTAAAAAAATTTTATAAACGTGATAGACTAGCTGAGTGACTCGGTGAAAACATTTGGTTTCCTCCGCAGCCACGATATGCTGTCAATGGTGGCTTATCCATTAAATAGGACATTAATTTTATTACACTCTTCTGCCTCACATTACCCCTCTTTAATGGCTTGCTGCTCCTCCTTCCACTGTTTTCCAAATGAGTAAATGACTACCACATTGAGGGGAGCATTTCACTCGCCCTCCCTCAATGCCTTTCTTGATACGCGTCCACGGTCTGCGGAAGTGCCAGATCATGCAACGAAATTGCTGAAGAGGCACACTGTGTTCCTTTTGGTCTGTAGTTTTGGAATTCACGTACACGGAGTGGTGAATTGTCTATTGGAGAGTGCTACCTCCAATATTGTTAGTGGATCAAAGACACGCGCTCTTAGTTGAGGAACGATGACAAACTGTAGCACTGTGACTGTTTGTTTACTTCTAGGGATGTAGTTTCGCTGGCGCCTCTGGATGCGTCTTTGTACTTTGGCTGAGTGATCGGCCTACTGACCACGCCACAACATCATGACCAGCTGAGTGGGTGCGCGACAATCGCTGCTACTGCGAGTGACGCAGGACTGACCGATTTCAAGTAGGTCTTAAGTTGAGCAAGAACCACCAGTATCTTCTGATCGAGGTGTCAAGCATCTTCTTGTCTCCCACGTGGCCCCAGTAAATGGTAAGTTTTTGCCACCTTTCGATATCTAAACGACCTACTTGCACCTTGACACCGAGGCGATTTGCCTGGTCATCTGTAAATTCTTTCCTTCGACAACCACCCTTCTACATCAGAAATGAAGTAGACTTGATTCTTAACAAGATTTGACGAGGTGAATTAGTAGTAAATGGTTGGAGAGCTTATCACTGCATTGTTGGAATCAATCGCTTGCGTCCTCCGTGCATATTCAAGTGTCTTCCTGAGGTCAAACTGCAAACTCGGGGTCCATACGAAACATCTGCACTGTGGATTGTGTCTTCACAGCTGCAAGTTCTGCCCTTCCATCTCAAACTCGCTAACCTTCAAGCATACCCTTGACAAAAGGTTACCTTATGTGTGTCTGGCTCCGTTGTCTTAAACGCTTAAAGACGGTTGAACAAATCGCAAAACATGCCCCACTTTAGCTACTTATGTAGAGATTGTAAGAAAATCAAGTTAAGATTTAAGATTTGCCTCGGTGGATGGATTTGAAAGGTGGAAAAACAGACTTCCCCTTTAGTGATGTTCCAAATGACGAGCCTATGTGCGTCTGAAGTGGCCATCAGTCAAGGTAACGAAAGTGAGCAAAGAGAGCACACCTTCAGGTTGCAATTAGAGGGCCAAAATTCGCTTAACTTCACTCCATTGGAGATTTGAACGAATTAGATATTAACCACTGGCATAGCAGACCTCCGTGACCGTTTTTGTAAGCAAATGTCTGTGCCTGTTGGAAACTTGTCAA